TCAAAATTTAGAAAAGCGTGAAGCATAAATTGGTTGATGGACTTCCTGCCATAAAATTCGAAAAGGACCATCTATGCTCTGCGTGTGAAATGGGAAAGCTCAAAAGAGCGTTCCATAAATCTAAGACAGATGTGTCCTGCATCAGACCTCTGCACATGCTTCATGTGATTCTTTGTGGTCCAATCTATGTGCAAAGCTTGTCTGGTAAGAAGTATATCTTAGTCTTAATTGATGAATACTCACGATATACTTGGATTAAGTTTGTAAGGCATAAATCAGATGTACCAGAACTGCTAATCAAATTAATGACCAAGATTCAAGTACTTCTACAAAGCAGAATTCAGAAACTGAGAAGTGATAATGGAACAGAGTTCAAGAACGCCAAGATTAGTGCATACTTGGACACAAAAGGAATAACTCAAAACTTCTCTACAGCGAGGACACCACAACAAAATGGTGTCGTAGAAAGAGAGAATAGAACTTTGGTCGAAGCTGCACGCACAACGCTAGCCAGCTCTGGTCTTCCAGCCCATTTTTGGGCAGAGGCAATCTCTACTGCCTGCTTTATTCAAAACAGAGCAACGGTGGTTAAGAGGCACATGAAGACGCCTTACGAACTAATAAATCAAAGAAAGCCTAACATCAAATTTTACATGTCTTTGGTTGCAGATGCTTCATATTAAATGATAGAGATCAACTTGGCAAGTTCGATAAGAAGGCAAACAAAGGCAAGTTCCTCGGCTATTCAACAAAAGCCAAGGCATACAGAGTCTTCAATCAACGAACCAAGACGGTCATGGAAAGCATCAACGTCTCGTTCGACAATAAAGAACAATTGACTTCAGAGTACCTCAGCTGTGGACTCGATCTTAACCTTCAGACTTCCAATTCTGAAATGAAGTTAAGGGACGTGAAACTCAGGCTCCTATTTGAAGACTTTTATGGTGACGAAGACATCTCTGCACGTGCACCAAGAGATGCATCTGCGAGTGTAAGTAAAGGATCAGAAACGACAAGCACATATGTCTCTGGTCCTTCACACACCTCTGCTTCCTCTGAAGATCATATCAATCCACAACCAGAGCAAACAAGCTCTGCATCAGAGCCCAGTCATATAGAACCAGAGCATGATACATCTGGTTCTACACCTGGTTCCTCTTAACCATCATCTGATGGGGAGCAACCACTTTCTTCACCATCAACGAGCTTACTGCCAAACATGCCCATGGAACATGATCAAACATCTTCAGCTTCTCTCTCTATCCCAAGAACAAAATGGACAAAAAATCATCCTCTTCACCAGATCATTGGTGAACCTTCAAGTGGCATAAAAACACGGGCTGCCACAGCTAATGAATGTTTATTCGTAAACTTCCTTAGCATGGTAGAGCCTAAGAAAGTGCATGAAGCCCTACAAGATCCTAGTTGGGTCGATGCTATGCAAAAAGAGCTCCAACAATTCGAGAGAAATAAGGTATGGACTCTTGTTCCCTTACCAAAGGAGAAAATTGCAATTGGTTGTAAATGGGCTTTCAGGAACAAGAAGGACGCGGATGGCATTGTGGTAAGAAATAAAGCTAGGCTCGTAGCAAAAGGCTATTGTCAGGAAGAAGGCATAGACTATGACGAGACCTTTGCGCCAGTAGCGAGGCTAGAAGCTATACGCTTGTTCTTAGCCTTCTCTGCACATAAGGGATGCCAAGTCTATCAAATGGACGTAAAGTCAGCCTTCTTGAATGGTAAGCTGAAGGAGGAAGTCTACGTTCTACAACCTCCCGGGTTTGAAAGCTCCACACATCCAAAGTATGTCTATTTCTTAGACAAAGCTCTGTATGGACTTAAGCAAGCACCTCGAGCCTGGTATGAACGTCTCTCGTCTTTCCTCTTATCTAATGGTTTTGAAAAAGGTAAAATCRATAYAACTTTGTYTATTAAGAGGTATAAAGGTGAGATGCTCTTAGTACAGATATATGTGGATGACATCATCTTTGGTTCAACGAACCAGAGGCATTGTGATAAGTTCTCTGTGTTAATGAAGAGTGAGTTTGAAATGAGCATGATGGGAGAATTGACCTTCTTCCTTGGCTTGCAAGTAAAACAGAGGGAAGATGGTATCTTCATTAGCCAAGCTAAGTATGTCTCCGACATATTAAAGAAGTACCAACTCCATAACTCATCAAACATGAGAACACCAATCGCTACAGGTACTAAACTTAACATAGATCCATCTCTTAAGTCGGTGGATGTTAAGATGTACCATGGAATGATTAGATCACTACTATATCTCACGGCTAGTAAACTGAACATTATGTTTGCCACATGTCTCTGTTCCCGTTTTCAAGAAAATCCAAAGGAATCTCACCTTTCAGTTGTAAAAAGAATCTTTCGATATCTCAAAGGGACTCAATTTTTGGGTCTTTGGTATCCAAAGTATTCTGGTTTCGATCTTATTGCGTACAAGGATTCTGATCTTGCAGGTTGTAAACTCGATCTAAAAAGCACATCAGGATGCTGCCAATTGCTTGGGGACAAGCTCATAAGCTGGACCTTGAAAAAGCAGAACTATGTCTCTACTTCCACCGCTGAAGCAGAGTATGTCGATGCAGCCAGCTGCTGTTCCCAAGTGATATGGAAGAAGACTCAACTGAAAGACTATGGCGTAGAGTTTGAGAAGTTCCCAATTTTGTGTGACTCAGAAAATGCTATTGCAATCACAGCCAACCCTGTGTAACAATCAAAAACAAAGCACATCGATGTTCGATATCATTTCATCAAGGACCATGTAGAGAAAGGTACGATTGAAATGTTCTTTATAAACACAGATTTATAACTTGATGGCATCTTTACAAAACCTCTTGATGAAAAGAGATTCAATTTCCTAGTTAGCAAGTTGGGTATGCTAAATCTCTCAAGCTAGAACAGAGCCTCTGTATACACTATACAGAGCCTCTACATCCCTTGATGCATACTGTTTTTTTCATAGAACAAAGCCTTTGCATAGTTCATGCATAGTCTCTTACTCGTCTAGTCTTTTTGCAATACAGAGCCTCTGTACCTTGATTATTATGCATGTACTCTACTTATCACAAATGATTCAAGCATAGTTCAAGGGGTAGCAGATAAGAAATACTAAACTCAAGGGGGAGCACAACATCATCTCAGAACAGAGCCTCTGTATGTAATATACAGAGCTTCTGTCTCTAAACATAGCAAAGTGTTCCCCAGAGGACATGTATAGTCTAATCATGAATCTCTGTTTGAGATCTTAAAGTATGTCTGCATATAGTTCTCTGGTTCTAATAAAAAACTCTACTTTTCTCAAACCAGAACTTTTACACTTAGAAAGTTTTCGTGTTGTTTTTGAAAAATAAAATATATTATTTAATTTGAAAGGCGTAGAGAATTTTTGTTAATTATTTAATAAAAGTTGTTACCTAGAATAAGCATCACCGCCTGTGAGCTTATCTTTTCAAACGTGGGAGGCGCCACTGGCAGCTGGCAATCCACGTGGCAGGCCCCCACAGGCTTTGCGAAAACCGGTTCAGTTTTATCTGACGTTTGGGGCGCTAAAACACTCAAGTATTTTAATTTTTTTCTATTTAAACAATTTCTAAGCCCCCAAATTAATCTTTTACGCTTACAAAATTTCTCAAAGAACTCTCGTCGTCTTCAACCTTTCAACCGCCATTGCCAGCACTCAAAGCTCTCAAACCTGCAATTAAAGGTCGTTTCCATCTTCTACCAATCATCCTGATTCACAAGTAAGTCCCACAAATCCATTCTTTCATCCCATTTCTTGATTCAAGAACCAGTTCTTGAAGCCCTAGAAATCTGTTATCTCCTTCCAAAACCCAAAACCTACAACAATGTCCTCCTCAGAATCTGGAAACTCCCAAACTCATACCACAACCCACAAAACCATGGAAGATACCAGTCAAAACCTTGTTCCCCTACCCATCAAACCAAATAACCATGCCCTAAACCTTCAACTTGACAACTTCAACACCAAATACCATCCCATCATCAACATTCTCCAAATCCACTTCTTGAACCCAGCCTTGACCAACACTGATGACTTGGTTCCTGAGAGATACATACAAGAGTATTGGCAATCCTGCACCGTTACTGAATCCCAAAGAGGGATCATAGGAGATTTCTTCGTCTCTGCCACTCAAGAATTCATCACAGATCGAATTTCAAAATCCTTATTTTCACGAGTTCTTGACATACCAACAAAATTTGACCTGGGGCTTTCTGAATACGCCCCTCTTCCTACCGGAGATGAAATTGTCACTTTCCTACACTTCTTGGGATACAACAAGGCCATTCAATACCCCTCACAATATCACCGTCAACACTTACCACCGATGTGGAATACTCTTTTCACATTGGTCAATCGTTTGCTGACAGGGAAGATAGGGAGCCTCGATATGTGCTCCACGAGTGTTCTATAATTCGTCTACGGCATTTTCTTCAACCTCTCCCTCGGCTACTCCTTGATACTCTACACCGAGTTCAAGGCCGCAGTGGCCAAAAGGTGTCAAGAAGTGGCCAAAAGAAGACAGTTGCCATCCTTGTTGTTTCCTCGATTCTTGGGTCTTCTCCTAAGACCAGCTCTTGAGGACAACAACATTGATGTGGGTCAGCTACCTTCTCACAAAGTAAACGTACTCACTTAATACAGACCAACAGTGCACAAGGAAGGTTATGAAGCAGAAAGACCTATTCCAAAGAGACTCATGAGCTACATGAAGTCTAAGGAGATTAGGAGAGCATACAGACGTACACACGAGATACTAGAACCGGTGTCTCGAACCCTGGTATGCATAGGAGCAGCCGACGATGAAGAGAGAACTGAGGACAAATCAATTCCTCAGACCAAGGGGGGAACAGTGAGAGTAGGAGAAGAGAGAATGAGAGCTGCGGAAGAAAGAGTGAGAGTACAAAAAGAGATAGAAAAAGAAAGAAAATGATAAGAGGCAAGGAAAAAGAAAGCTGAGATGGAGAAGAAGAAAAAGGAGGCAGAACGAGCAGAGGAAGAGCGGGCAGAACAGGCTCGCCAAACAGAAATCGCTCGCCTAAGAGAAGAGGCCAGACTCAGAACAGAAGAGGAGGCTCGTCAAATCTTGGCTCAATCCTCTAGTCCAAACTATGAGGATAACCAAGAGCATTATGACGATGCTGCAAGGTCTTACACTAGCGAAGAAAATGGAGAAGAGGAGGAAGAGAGTGACGAAGAAGTGAGTAAGACAGAATGTGAGGGAGATGAAGAGGAGAGCGAGGAAGAAGACGAGGAAGAAGAGGGAGGAGGTGAAGCAGTTGCTCTGTCTCACGGTGGGACAAAGCAGCCTAGGCCAAATAAGCACATCAGATTCACGTACCCTACTCCAAGTGCAACCACACTATCTGACTCCGGTGGTCGAGACACGGAGATCATTGAAACAGAGGCGCACACCTCGAACCCTAACCAGCCTATCCAACCAGAGGTCGTATCTACCTTTGGTTATATTAGCCAAAGGGACACCTCTCCACAGGGAACACTCTCTCAAAAGGGTGTAACCTTTGAAAACATAAGTGATATGTCTCCCCATATAACGCCACTTTCCCACATAGAGGAATTTGTTACCTCTGTACAACTAGAACCCCAACCTTGTTCAGAGCAAGGACTAGGTGCACCAGACTTTGAGACTCTCGACCAGTCTCATCGTCCACTCATGGAGAACCCTCTGGCTGGCTCTGAACCAGACTTGGATCCTCTCCTTGACATAATAGAAGTAGTGAATTCTCCTCAAGGAGAACCACGAGGATCTTCTAGAAGCCCATCCCCGACTAACGTCAATCAAGTCGTGACTGAAGGCGTCCCTGGAACGGGGACTCAATCTGGCCCGTGTATTGAGTCAGAGGTTACCACATCTGCATATGTCACTAGGGAAGCGTTCCATTCCCTTTTCACCTCTATTCAGTGCTCCTTGGAAGAGCTAAAACTTAGCATGGCCCGTGTAGAGCCTTCACCTTCTACACCTGCTCTGGATGAGATACGAGCATCATTGGCAGTACTAAGAGCTAAGTCCGCAAAAAATGCTTCTCGTATCAGTACACTAATGGAATTGACGGCAACCAATACAGCAAAATTACAGCAGGTTGTTGCATCTCTACCGAGGGTTGAGGCGTATACGTCGATCAACAACCAGGCCCTCATACCTCTAAGTGTACCTGTGGACTATGTCACACAGAGCGCCATGAATGCTCTGGGTGACAGACTCCTACAGAAGGTGGCAGACTTCACTGCAAACTTCAATAGCAAGGCCACAAACAGCAGCAAAGAACATCAACGACACTCTCGCACGATTCAACTACCGTTCAGACAACAAAGTGCGAAGAGTTGCCGTTGCAGTCGATGAACTCCTCAAAACCATCGAGGAAGTGATCAGATCCATGCCTCGAGCAGAGGATGAAAGACCTAAGCGATAGCGAGATCAGTCTCCGTATGCTGAACCGTCAAAGAGGAGGCGACTTCACGATGATGAGGACCCAGACGAGTCTCGTCCTCAAAATCGCCAAGAGGGGGAGAACTTGTCTACAACCACACCAAGTACAACACCTCCGGCTGTCCCCTCTGCACCATCGTCCTATGCTCCATGCCATCAAAGTCAACCAAGGCAAAGAAGACAAAGCCAACAAGTGCCAGACAATGCAGAGGCACTATGCAAAGGGAAAATGCCTATGACATCAGAGGCAGAGCCAGCCATGCCACACAAGTCTACAGAAGTGATCGATCTTCTATCTACCTATGGATCAGATGACTCTGACCTGGCTCTGTCCTCCTCAACAGAGTATGCTATGGATATGGTTGCTCCATCAACAACATCCCAACAATAAGAAGAGGTGGTAGCCATGAATGTGGCCGATCCGTCGCTACTACACATTCTGGTTGCCATTCCTCTAGAAGAAGTAACCGTTGCTGCTCCTCCACCACATCCAAGAACCCACAGAGCTAGGGTCCCTGCTCAAGTGTAACACCCCCGTCCCGCGTGGTCAAAGACGGGTGATGTCACAATTGGAATAAAACCAGCATGTGCTATATAAAACAGAGCGGCTAATAAAATTTACCAAAAGATAATTACATAACCACAAATGGAGATAACGTGTCTCAAAATATCAGCATGTCTACATTAGTCATCAAAAGTTTAAACAAAAGTATGACTTAATGAGTTATCATCAATATTGTCATCTCCGTAGTTCTCATCCCAAAATCCCTGCTAAGTCATATACCTGCCGAGGACAAGAAAATCTCGGCTGAGCTTAATGCTCAATGAACGGATAATAATATAATAAAACAATGAATATGAGATAACAAGTTCAAAAACAATTGATAACGCCAAATGATAATCCAAAAGAAAGTCAAAATGCCCAAAAGCATATCAAGGGTCCAAAGACCAAACTGCATCACGAGGATGCGT